CAACGCGGTGTCACTGCAGTAGGATCCTTGCCGGGCCGCAGCGGCGTCCTTGCATTCGGTTATTGCTGACTTCAACTGCTCCAGAAAACTACTTTTCCGCACCGAGCCCAGATACGCAAGCTTCACTGCGGTATCCAAAACCTTCGTGCCGTCCGGCCACAGCAGTGGGCTTTCGCTGATCAGCTGCTTCGCTTGCCGGAACGCTTTCTCACAAAGCGGCTTCACCCAACCCGGTTGTGCAGTACCGCGGACGGCATCAGTACTGTTCCCGTACCACTGTGACTCCGTTAGTCCGTCAATTAACACTTCTTCTTCCCTGCGGTTATCACCACTTCGTCGCGTTTTGATCACTTCGATATTCAGACAAAATCTTGAGTCATACACGAAATGTGTCCTTCAACACGCACAATCGAGACTGCAGCATGACTACTTTCATCACTGACATTTATGCACCGGTACCGAGATCAGAGGTCCCGCGAGCATTTGCATCAGTTTTCTAGAAAACAAATGCAAAAAGCGTCCTCGTCTATTTTTTATCCTAACAAATACATTTCTCAACTCCTAAACCCAAGATTTTGTTGCGGTATTCGCCCCAACGATTGTAACAGACCGTGTCGGTTCGTAGCCCTGCATTCCCGCCGCCGTTCTCCGAAGAATGCCGGATTTCCCGCCGATGATACACTTGCTTCCGCTCTGATCTCTCCATTTTGTTCGAATCCGCGTAGGAGAACGTAACCACGTGCCTCGCCACCGGGGGCCCCTCCTTCGCCGTGTCCCGGGGATTTGGATCGGAGGTGCGCAGCACGTAGAGTCTGGTCGGCTTCGCCTCAAAACGCAGCGTATGTGGAATACCGCTCGTCTCTTCGTCTCCAGTAGCCGCTGCTCCGGCCAGCACGCTGCTTGCTCTATTGCTGTCGCTCTGACGCTGCACCGATTCACCGGCCGAAGAGACCCCAGTGCGCGTGTCTGGGCCGGAAAAACTCGCGGTGGTTGAGGATTGGAACCGCTTGGTGTGGCTGTCGGACTCCTGCGATCGCGATGCCCGTTGGCCATCCAGGGCAAGCTGCGGAACTCGTGCGTCCCGGGAAGAACCCGCACTCGTGGCTCCCCGAGCGGACTGCAACGCCTCCGTCAAGGCGTGATTTCTACTGTTATTGTTGTCCTTAGCGATCATGCCGTTCGTTTGGGACTCTGGGAACATTGCTTTGTCCAGCTCTGTCTGCAGTTTCTGTGCGCATGCCCCGCCTTTCGTCTCCGCAACCTGTCTCGCAACTTCCAACGCGTGGTCGTTATTGACGCACCAAGCGAAATCCTCCCCGATAACTGCTTTTAAAATCCTCGTCAGGTCGAACTTGATCTCTAACGGCTTCAACGAAGGCCGCGTGTCGAAAATGCTCGCTTGTGATTCTTTCTTCTGCAGAGAGGCAGCGTAACTCCTGGTGTTCCGAAACAGCATCCCGTCGCGTTTCTTTACCGCAGTTGTAGTAGTTGTCGTGCTGCATTTGCTGTTGCGAATCATACTGGTGGACCCACTGGTAGCAGTAATCTTGTAGTATCCAATGCAAACACTTCATTGGTCATGTGCAGTGTAGCAGATGCCGAGAACCTGATTTTGGTGGGTGCAAAGGTGCTTCTTCCCTGCAGCGCTCGCTCACCACGACGCCTCAGCCCGATGCTAACTTTGGACAGCACATAAACAAATTGCACTTCTTAAGGACGTTGTAACACAGCAAATACAGTGCGTCCTCCGCTCCTACACCTCCCCATGACTCAATGAACTGAATTTGCAATGCATACAGACTTGAAGGAAACGACAGGTCCTGTGGTCGTTCTGCTAGAAGAAGTTTTCCCCGAACTATTTTTTGCCTGTTGATGCAGTATTTCCAGCGCTCCCGCGGCTTCTGCATTTCTTCCTCCAGAAATCGCCGACTTCTTTTTTGCTGGCAGCGCGGTGTCAGCACCTGTCCTAGTATCCTGCGTGCCAAGAAGATTCTCCCGCGACACTTCTTGTCCACCGCTAGTCCCGTCAATTTCCCCCTTCTCCTGTACGTTTTTTTCGGACTTCAGCACTACTGCCCGTGGAACAGCGGACACAGCAGGTAGCGCGGCTTGCGCAGTTGCGTTCTTTTCTGGTGATACCATCGGCACATCAATGTTGCTGTGCTTCGAGGACGTGTGCACGTGTAAGTCCTGCATGTGGTTTATGATGCTATCATCCGTTTGATCCCCCATCGCGTTGTTACTCGTGTAGCTGCTCGTCTTGGAGTCGCCGCGCACCGTTCGCGCGTCGTCCCCATTGGCTCCACCGCCGTGCCCGTTCGTTCCCCGCCAGCCGGACTCGTTTGTATTTTCCTGCATCGGCTCGGCGGGCGTGTACTCCTCTGCCCCCATTGGATCGTCGGCCGTATCGTGGTCGTGTGGCAAAGCATATGAAATGCAACGATGTCTGCGTCTTGAAGAACGTGACCCAGATGGTCTGGCATGCAAGCCCTAGCACCACAGGTTTCGAACAAGTATCCCGCAAATGTCCGATCCACATGACAAATTCCTTCTTTCTTTGAAAAGAAGTAAGGCCTCTCCCTTTTGCTGGCCATGCATGATACGCATTACAAATTAAAATCCTTCCGGACCCAGACATATTTGCAATGCATAAAGCAGCATGTGCGCGACCTTCAAGGCGCTGCAGAACAAGCTCCGCATCATTATCACTTCCCAAACCACTGTCCTGTTCGACGAGGATACAGCTGAGATTCCGCGCATGCCGATAAAATTTGTGTTGAGACCCAGCTATTTTTTGCACGTGCACTTTGGGCAACACATACTGAAACATGGCTCCAGGGTCCAAAACTGCAAATGGGTCGCAGATGAAAAGTGGAGAAGTAAAGTTTTCTTTTACTGCATGCAGTAAAGAACATGTCTTCAACCAAAATTTTCTCCAGATACGAGGAATCTTGAAGTATCCTCTGTAAAACCGTTTCCACTTCCCCCAAACTTGTATTTGTCATGCAGATTTGCATGAGCAGTACAAAGTGTCTCCTCGCGGCTCCCCGTGGGAGCAATTTCCTACTCTTGATGTTAGCAAATTTGTAATGCTCTAATGACTGCCTATCCACACGTGCTATGCAGGATTCGCAATAAAAGTTCCGGATTCATACATTATCTTGCAGGTTTCCGATCATCAGTATGGGGTATGGGCATCGCTTTTTACAAAGAATATGAAGACTTATGTCATCCACCATCTGTGTGGACTGCTGTTCCTGAGCCAGCGCAGAGTTTGATAGATGGTCTGGCTGGTGCTCGAGCTTGGTGTGTTTCAGCTGAGGAGCGGTACCAGCCAGACTATGACCGTGCTGCTGCCAAGCCGATACGGTGCTGGTGATCCAAGTCCTACCAGGGAAAGATGCTTTCGGCCAGATGGAAGTACCCGATTTTTTCCTGCAAGTCCGTTGGTTCTCTACATCGTGGACTTTTTCAACAAGCTGCTGCAACAGATTTATGCAAACTTCGCCAACACTCACTCTCCCAGCTACGCTGGCAATACGCCCTCACATTTGTAAGGCGGGTGCAGCGACAAAGACGAACCCACGATAGCGCATGCATAATTCGGTTTCTTGTCATGCAGCCGAAACTGAATTTTGTATCGTACCCGGCGTACCCTGTCCGCACAACAGCTGTCCGTGTTGCAGCTGGTGCAGGTCACCGGCCATGAAGAGTTGCCCCTGCTGCTGCGCCAGCGTTTCCGGTAGTCGGTTGCCACCGGCGCTGCTACTGCTGCCGCTACTACCTGAGTTGTTTCTGCTCATTTGTACGGTTGTGGTTGCGGGCCCGGTTAGATTGCAAGTCTGAAGATGCTCTTCCTGCACTTGCTGATTACTACTTTTCGTTGAAAAAGAAGAAGGACGTTGTCGTCGTTCTCCTTCAACATCTTACCCTTGGGTGCAGACAGACGACGGGAAACTGATTTATTGTCGGTGAAGCATGCTGTCAATCAGAATTGGCAATGGTACCGGCACACAGCAACGATTCAATGGACAACGAAAGCAAACCGCGGCTACCCGTCGGTCCTTGAAACGTTCTTCGTTTGAAGACAGCTGTTCTTCGTTTCAAGACAGCTGCTAAAATTATCAATAAAATGACGTCACATAATTTTCACGACATGGACAAGGCAATCCGGTGCTGCCTGTAGTTCCGGAAAAAAACCTACATTTCGTTTTCGGCATCAGCAAGTCGCAGAAAAATCGTTGAGTGGACGTTTTATGCCATCACACATTTTCTACAATTTCAAAAAAAAAAAACGCCAAATGTAGATTCAAACTTCAAAAAAAATATGAAGCAAGAGCTATCTCCTGCAGCAAATGGGTAAGTAGAGACTCCGCTTGTTGTGAGTCCTTCTTATGGATAAGTGCAGACTCCTTCCTTCTGCTGCTACTCCGCTTGTTATGAGTCACTCCTGACGCGACCTCCTGCCCCTTTATGGATCAGCTTATGGCCCCCAAGAATTGTCTAGTCTGCCAACTACAAAACCATCTTTAGCAAGGCACGAGACGCAACATTTTTGGCACACCGATGGAATGAGACAGCTTTTCCTTTCTGAGATGCCTTTTTCAAATCCAACCGACCGCACGACCGAAAGTTTCTAGCTGCACTTTGTGTAGCAAAGTAGGCACAAAAGTACAGGCTTTTTCTCGTTTCCCCCAACATCGGCAACTCCGATTCAGAGGAAGAGAGCCCACCGATACAGACGCGCCGCACGATGCGGCTAGCGTGTTACAATAGATTTTATCATTACCCACCTGCACCAGGCCTATGCTCTGCACCGAATTTTTTCGTTCGGCCGTAGCATTTTCTATGCGCTCTTTCCTTGGGTGAATCTGAACTTTCTTTCAACAACCCCGGCAGCTACCGGAGTGACCTAAATGTTGATGTTCAGTCAGCTTCTTATACTAGTGGCAGCACGCGAACACCTAGCAACAAAAACCTTCTTTCGTTGGTGGCAATGTCTGCTTTAAAACCTGACTCACGTAGAATTTTCGTCTGCTACACAAGACAATTCTCCTGGTCTCGTGACGGGTTCGTGTTCATTTTGCACCGTAGAATTATTAAGGAAACGCAGTTAATTGCGCACGTTTCATCATTCTCTCCTTCCAGCAAAAACCAAAAGTCGTTTTTTTCTACAACTCCTGCAGCTATCCAAAATCGACATCACCTGCTGCTGATTTGCCGTGGTAATGGCGGAAGCTCAATTTTCTTTCAAATCGTACAAAAAAACAGAGTATATCCCTCCTGGCAGACTGCTCACTTGAGATGCGGATCTGTACCGTTGCTGTATCAATTTCGTTTCCAATCCTAAACCACCGCTGTTCATCGAATGGTATACCAAAAAACTCTTCTTCCAGTCCCCCGGATGATTTCTTGCTGTTAGCTTCCCCCGCTCCAGTTGCTTTTTGTTTGTCAGTGTTGTGTGTCGGATGAAATCTTGACTTATTCGCTCCTGATTGAACTACTCTGCTACGCTGCGGAAGAAGATGAGGAACGACCACCGCCACCGGAAATCGTGTCGATGCGCCGTCTCTTCGGGTCATTACTCTCCGATGAATAGTATCCTCGGAAAAATTTCGCCTGAATCGAAACTGGCAAAAGCTTTTGACCAAAATCTCATTTGCGCTTCGTGCAGCAATAGATACATCATACGCTTATTGAGAATGCAAAACAATATCTTCCTGCATGACAATTTCCGTTTACTTGGTCAACTCTTTGTGCAGTTTTGATTCGAGACCAACCTTTACCAACTCAACTCGTCCGGTTTTGTCGTGGGATCGCCGGAGGAAAAGTAGTCTTCAAACCTGGGCCGTCCGACGTAAACCCTGGGGGAACTTGTATCCAAGCGAACTTTTGACGAGGTGGCGCCAACAAGTACAACGAAGAGTACTGCACAACTGGGGTCGTCACGATGAGCGGTACTTTCCTGGTGTTGCACTTGCAATTGACATTCACCCGTCAAAAGTTCGCTTGCGTAATAATGAGACATCGCGAGCTGATCCAACTTCGTGTTCGCCGGTCGAAATTTGCCGAGCGGATGCTTGTAGAAACGGTAGTGTATAATAGAATCTTCGCACAGGGGAAGGCTGGCGGGAATGCCACGGGGATGGAGGAAGGGTGACAGCGGCGGTACAAGATAAAGCTCGACTTCGCTTCCTTCGGTCGCTATGCCGAAGCCATACTCGAAACACAGACCCTGCATCGTCAGGCAAGAGTCAAAAAACTTATTCACCTTGCCGACTGATTTCTTGACCCTTAGCTTCCAATCGCCCAAAGTAGTATACTGGAACCAGATCGGTGATTTGTCGTCGTCCTTTGTTGTGATAGTTTCATTCTATTTTTGAAGTGTGAGAACGATAAGCGAATGCTACCGAAGCCCTTGTTTTGAAAATGTGTCGCACGACTGGTGCGAGTTGCAACAGTACTGAGAATGTATCGTCTTCTGGCTTCCTCCTATATTCAAAAACCAAACACAGTAACTTTTACCAGACTTTTCGACCGCGGGCGCAGGAATGACTTTTCGGCAGCGGGCAGGATGTCCTCGCAGGCTTCGCAGGAATTCCCGTGACGCGCTAGAACACCTAGACCACCGAGGCCTTCCAAATAAAGTTGACGGTTGCAAGGGTCCTTCGCACGACACGCTAGAGCAGGTTTTGAAAGGGTCCTTCGCACGGTTGCAAGGGACCGGCCTGCTCTATTTGGCTTTGGAAGGACCGTCAGTGCAATCCCATCAGCAGGTCGGTCAGAAACACAAAGGTGCGAATGTATTACCTCCTGCCGCCCCGAGGGTTGGTCCTCGAGAATGATTTTGCGGACGAAGCGGGGCAGCACACGCGGCACTGAATTGGACGTAGTGGCGACCAACACGCTCTCCTCCCCTTTCCAGCTGCCAAGCAGGGTTCGTCGCATCGCGCGGTCCCTCGTCTACTATGCACACCAAAAAAATCCTGCTTCTAGACCAGGGCTCCAGCAAATAAAACCACACGACACAAAAGTGACGCAGCCTTGTGCTGTAAAGATCACGAGATCACTGAAGATTTCTATCGACCATGCATCTGCATGACAGATATGTTCACTTTTTTCCTGCGGAAGCCTGGTTAGAACAGCGTGAATCTTCCCTCCTGCATACGTACTCGCGCACAACATTTTGTAACAAAATCCCTATTTCGTGTGTTACCCGTAAGCCGCCAGCGCGTAATACAGAGGAGCAGCCCCAGCCGTAAGTCGCCAACGCGATGCGCAACTGGTCCTGCGTGGTGCTCTTCAAAAACGTCGACAACACCTCGACCGCCCGGTACTCGGCGCCGGGCTGGTGTATCATACCGCTGGCCAAGTCGGACAGCCGCAGCAATTCCCGGATGTTGTGGTCCTCCGACCGATCCTCGTGCGCATTCGTTTGCGTAGACCAGCCGAGCTCCGTCTTCAACTTTTTCACCAGCGCATCGGCGACGTCGTACTTCTTCTTTGTTTCGCCCTCGTAGCGCATGACAGACGCCTCCAACTCGCAGAAAGGGTACTTCTCGCAATCTGGCTTTCGCATCGGACAGAGCAGGCGGCCGGTACGGCCGTCCGTCTTCTTGCACACAAAGGGCCGCAGCGCCTGCAGGTAAATGTCCTTCTCGAGTCGCTCAATCCCGACTAGGGAAGGGAGGAAGACGCCCATCGTCGTGCGAATCGCCCAAACGTGTCTCAGCTCCCAAGACTGAAAGTACTCGAGCCGCGACTCGCGTATTCCATGCAACGCCAAGCGCATCAGCAGGTCCGTTGCCGGAATGGTCGGCAGCGCTTCCAGGGGAACGCGCAGTTTATTGCGGACCAGTTGTAGGTGCGCAGCAATTTTTGCAGTTGACGACAATGAACACGCACTGGTGGACGAGGATGAGGAACTGGTTTTGGAAGATGTTGAGCCGATGCCGGTGGAGGAGGACGAACTGCTTCTCCTAGAAGAGGGCGGCCTTTTATAGTTGACTTTAGATTCTAACCCATAGCTACCACAGGGGTCTAATAGCTCCTCTATCCTGCGCAAAAACGTCCCCATACCACACAGACACCATTCTGATTGGAGCATCAGGTGTTCCGAAACACGACTAGCAAATGCTTCTGATGGTGCTCCGCATGAGAAACATTTTGAGCATGCAGATTTGCATGACAGCTCTGGGGTGGAGACGGTCTTACTCAGAATATGCTCCAACGCCTCTTCTTTTTTCAACATGTCCTCGTCGTACTGAAATGTTGGCCTGGGAAAATCCTCCACAAAATCCGACTCCGCGTCGCGATCCGGCAATGATATTCCCTCCTCGGTCACCGGGAGCACGGGGTCATCTTCGTTTTGCACTGGCCCCTCGGGTATCAAATGTAAAAATGTCTGGGTCTGGAAACTTGTGATGCTGGGTGTTGTCGCATGATGAGGCCACAAATGCTGGCTCAGCATGACAAGTTTCTGAGATTCTAGGCGTTGCCTATTCTGCATGACAAACTGCGTTCCTGCATCACAGAAAAGCGGAGCTCTTGGGTAATGTGCATGACAGATTTAAGAGTCATGACAGACAAGCATGACAAACATGCATTCTTTCAGACCCAGACATATTTGCATTTGATATCGGTACCGCGGTACCGCCAGTGCTCCGTGCACAGTGTCGCGAGCTCGTCCGCTTCCTCCCGACGAAGGTACACCCCAAGGTCTCTCACCACGTGGCACAGCGCCATCGGGTGGATGCTCCTGAACACGCTTCTACTTCCGATCGCCGGCTTCTTCGTGTCTTTTATCACCCTCCGTAGATACGCCACCCCCGCTTCGCGCTGTGCAGGATCCTCGCCACGGTTGAGGATCCGCTCGAATTCGCGTTCCAGGTAGGCGTCCGTACACTTGCAGCCCTGCTGTAGATGCGCTTCGTAGTCCCCGCGTTTGCCCACCCACGTACACCCGCGCTCAAGACGGTGAAAGCACTGGACGGTCGTGCCGGTGCAACTGGCCTCGCAGTGGGTCGCGAAGTTCTCCTATGAACTGCAAAAGTATCGCACTCGTATAAATGCATTACAAATTTCCTCAGCATGAGAAATAAAATTTGTAATGCGGATTTACCTGAACAAAAGACTTTGTAACGCATGACTGCAATACGAGTGCGATACTTTTACACAAGATATCTCTAGGCGCATCTCCGCCCCGCACCCCTGGCACCGCACCTATTGCAGGGAAAGATACCCCGTCCCCATATCGAAAAGGGCATTTGTAATGCTGATTCGCGTACACAAGGCGACTTGTATTGCTAGAAGGCCAAGAGACAGAGTCGTGGCCTGAATTTTTGCAGGCAAATTGTCCTGCTGTTTCCGACCACTTGCTGTTGCCTCCTGTCATGCTGAAGATGCAAGGCCTGTTTCTCACGCCAGCCACCACGACAGTCCGCATCTGTAGCAGCCTTCTCTACAAGTTTCCACTTTGATGTGGGGAGGGGGGATTTTTCCATCTAATACCGCCCAGCTCTTGTCCATTACCTCACGCAGGGCCAGATTCGCCGTGTAGGTCCAGGGGTCCGCGCGGCAATTTGGGCAGCCTCTTCCTGCCGCGGCCGTAGCTCTCTTTGCGCAGTGCTCGCAATAGCTCTTGCCGCAGCAATGCGCGACGACCGGCTGCGCGAGCGCGTGCAGGCACAGCGGACACTCCACGGCCGCGCCTTGCTCCTTGTCCACAGATATGCATTGCAAATATATCTTGGTCTAAAAACCTGTGTTGCTGATTTGCAGCTGATCGCAGCTCTTGCGTTGGCAGCCACGCATGACAAGCTGTTGAAACGCTTTCGGATGTCCAGCACGCATTACAAATTGCGTTTTTGCATGACAGAGGATGCGGCTCTTCTGCTGCTCACGTAACAACACAGATTCTCTAGAAATACAAGAGACGCATTGCAAGTTCCACGTTTCCAGACCCAGACATATTTGCAGTTGATAACAGACTCGCATTCCGGCAAGGCAGCCACACTCGGGGGCTGTGTTACCACAGACGACCCGGGAGTTGTCGGGAGTGAGTCCACCGAGCCGGCCGCGGGCGGGGGCTGTTTTGCCTGCAGCTCTCCCGATGCAGGTGACGCCATTTACTAATGTGCGATTTTGCTTTTTTCCTTAAGGGTACTGAAGCGTTGTAGGTAGTAAGTACTCCTGACTCGAAGCAAAGTGTTGATGCGAGGTGGCGGAAAAGAAACAAACAAAGATACAGCAGTTCTGATTAGTTACATTCAAGTCTAGTGTTAAAAATCCATGCAGTATTCTTGGGACAAAAAACTCAAAATTCTGCGTAGTTCACAAAAAAAACCTACTGTGGTCCACAGTTCTTGAGGAGCAACAATTTTGGTTTCCACGGTGTTTGCGCCTACTTTCCAGTTTCAAGAGAAATCTTGGTTTCCAAAATTCTTGTCGAAAGAGAGGGGAAAATGTGCACAAACTGCGAAAAGACTTCGTCAAACCCTGCATTTTTGTCCGACAGCACGACGAGAAAATCAAAATCTTTGCTTCTTCGATAACAACGCCGCTCGGAAATGCGAAAACCTCTCTCAGGCACTTTTTTGCGAAAAAACGAGTAACGATGAAACGAGTACTTCCAAAACGAAAAAACGAGGTAACCGACCGCGAAGAACTGAAGTTCTGGAACAGCAGCAAAAAGAAGAGAAACCTCGTTTCTCACCAATAGGAAAAAATTTTACTCCGATTGTTCTGTGTTTAGTGCTCCTCTCCTAGTTTCCAAACAGCGGCCGTAATATTGTTTTTGAGCGTCGTGATTATATTTTCAGAATAAAGTTGTCAATCGCGCCACACTGTCGTCGCACCTCCCTTAGCGAGAGCTTCTGGAAGCGGCAGCTCTAGCGCGCCGCAATCAACCTAACTACTCACGGTGTTGACTTCGATTTGTTTTACAACACGGAGGTAAGTACATAATCACCCCATAAGTATTGGATATTAAAGGTCCGTCTCTTCTTGGCAGCTGCGAGGAAAAAAGAAAGGCTCAGTAATGTAGTAGTACGCGCTTATCTTTGAGTTCTGGGGGAAAAAAGTTAACCAACAGGACAAAAATCTTCAAAGTGCTTCAGTATTTTTGCGGGAGAAAAGATGCGGAACGGAAAAAAGAATAGGACAATAAACTCTCTTGAATTATGGTCGAGCTCTATTTTGGGTGGGCGTAGAAATCAGATGGAAATCATAGCTGAAAAATGACGTGAAGATGAAAAAAGAAAAACTGTAAAAATAAAACGAAAAAAAATCCAGACAAATGCAGGTTGTAGTAGAACTCTTAAAGGTACGAAAGCGAAATTTGATGCCAAAAAGGCCGCCAAAATGGTTGCAGATAGTGACCACTGAAGTTGTGTCGTGGCGCTCGGTGACAATAAATCTACAGCACTTCTTATTTTCACGCAAACTGGCGAAGCCGTCTTGCGCAACAAGCGACTGTTCTTTATCAGAGCGGAGTTGTGTTGAAATGGATCAAAATCTGCAACGCGTAGTAGGGATGAGTAAAAATCACCCCGTTCTTTCCCTTTCAAAATTAGAAAGTAGAAATGTGTGGTCCTTACCGTGGTTCAGGCTAAAAACTTCTCCGCACTGAGAAAAAACTCGAGGGATCAGACCCTTCTCGCCTTCATCAAAATTATGCAGAAAAATGAAAATAACCTCAAACCGACATAGTACACAACATAGCTGCTCTTGTACTTCTACCTTAATGCGCCTTGTAGTAAGTGGATGAGCAGTGCGAAACTTCTTCTCGTTAGGTGTGATGTTCAGGTCGATAATATTTCATAGAAAAACACAATAAAACGTACTGTACAGAGGCTTTCTTGACGAATACGTACTTACATAGACCACCCAGTGCAACGGCGTGAAAAAGATGTCGGCACCAGCAGCTCCACCGGTTTTAGAATCGTTGCGAACCAGGACCAAAGCGATGCTTGATCCCGTGCATGAAATGTTGAAGTTGAACGGGAGTGGTGGTCCGAAAAGGTAGTAAAGACTACCCGATTTCTTCTTCTTCTTAGTGAGCCGAGAGAAAAGAAGAGGAGGAGGAGGAGCTCGAACTAGTCGACAGCTTCGCCTGCAGGTTCGGCGTTTCCCCGCCGCAGCTATCGAGTGCAAAAGTGTCTGAGTCTGGAGTCATGCAGGTTTTCCATAACCCATGATTTCTGAAATGCAGCGCCTAGCATGACAGATTCTGTGAGATCTCTTTCAAGCCTATCCTGCATGAGAAATTCCTTCTCAACTTGGTAAAAAAGGGCGGCTGTTGGTAATCATGCAACACAAATGTTTTGCATGATTCAGATTTAGCATGACAAGTTGCAACCCTCCAGACCCAGACATATTTGCAATGCATAGCAGCAGCAGCCGCACCACTCGCCTGGCACGGAAGCGGGATATGCAGTACAAGAGTATAAAGTATCGCACACCAGCTGGAGCAATTTGCGGACGACTTCTTGACTTCATCCAAAATCTGTGATGCAGACTTTTCATCTGACAACAAATCTGTCATGCATGTTATCCATGCGAAAATAAATTTGTTCTTGCGTTTACAGCTTTACAATTACTTTTTTTGCACTTGATATCGGCGCTTGGTTGCTGGTGCTCCCCGGGTCGTTTTCCAACGGGGCCGGCTTTTCCTGCACTTGCTGCTTCATTTCCTATGCATTGCAAATATGTCTGGGTCTGGAACAAGCAACTTGTGATGCTGCGTTTGGATTCCAAAAAAATTTGTGTTGCATGAGCAGCAAAGGGAATGTAACTTTTGCTACGCGGTAGTGGGGGTATTTGTCATGCGGAATAGGCATCAAGAACCCCTCAAAAAAACTGTGACGCTACGGCATGCATCACAGACATCATGGATCATGGAGAATCTGCATAACAAATCTAGGAAAGTTTCCAGACCCAGATATTTTTGCATTTGATATTTCCTGCGTCTTCGCCATCTTCTCCTGCTGCTGCTGCTTCGCGACTTGTTCCGCGAGCTGCTGCTTTTTCGTTTCCGTTTTCTTCTTCTTCAACTGCAATTTTTTCTGCAACATGGACGACGCCAGGATGTCCCAGCGCGGGTGCTGCGACGCCGCCCCCTGCGTCCACTGCGCGGTCGCGTAATCCGGGGCCAGCGGCGCCAGGTGCGGCGGCCGCTGGGCTTGCACAAACCCGCTGTTTTGTTCGGCTTCCGGGTTGAGGTGCGACCGCTTGTGCACGTGGAACGCCAATACGGAGGCTCGGAAGATCATCCCGAAAATGTAGTTGTGTATAAAGATAAACTCGAAAATGTAGTTCTTGTGTATTGCGCGCTGATTTTAAGAACAGGAAAAAGTTGGAGTAGTACCGCGGTTTTAATACTTCTTACGTATTTTTCTTCGCCTTGATGATATGCTAGATAACTACTGCACAAGTACGTTTTGATGTGTGGAAAACTGCACTTCGCTTTTCAAGAACCTTGATGAGAGCATAGAAAAAAAGATAGAGAAATTGAGGGTAAATAAACGAATTTAAGTACTCACGTCACAATACCGGGATGTGAGTCCTGGGGTTTAGGAAATTCTTGCACGTAATTTGAATGAACTACTGCACACAATAGCAGTGTATAATAGTACAAGCTATACGGGGTGTTGACGCACGAGAACGAGCTCTTTTTCCGAGTTCTTGTGTACGAAAGTTCGGAAGGGACGAAAGAAGTTATTACGCACGATACTACATTTGTCTGGACGAGTTATTGGCAATGACCGAAGTCCAAAGAAGTACACACACGCCGTAAAACAAACCGACAAATACTGGCAGGAGCCTTGTGTTCTTTCTACGAAAACCGAACGTTCTTTCTACGAAACCGAACGGGAACTCGAACTTTGCTTTTGCATGAAAAATAAATTTCCCGGGAGCGCAAACCGAAGATCAGGAAAAGACACAGAGACAGAGTAAATTTTTGTAAAGATGAACAGTTGTGTCTTCTAGAAACGAGTGTCATGTCATCTACGAACAGGCTGGCGACCATTTCATCTTCTGCGCAAAACATTGAGACGTGACGAGTTACGTCGCCAAAGTGCTGAGGTCGCACGAGCAACGCTCTACTTCGTACGGATATGTTTCGGACGTTGAAAAAATCTCAATTCAAGTGCCACTGTTTCCATCGATTATTTATTTCCAAAATAAAGTGATGTTGTCGTCTACAAGGTAGCGGTTTCCATGCCGCCACAGCTGAGCGCATGATGATTGGTCCTCGTGTAAAGGTAATTCACCGTCGTGTAGTTTTGCTCCTGAACTCCTTCAGCGTGTAACAACAAAACACTTCGAAATTTCTACTTCCCAGGCGGCAGGATGTCCGGGAAAGTGAGCAGCACGCTTCGCATTTCCCCGGTGCCAAACCAACTGCACGCGCGCTCCTCTTCCTGGTCATTGTCGTACTGAAAAACGGTGTTAAACAGCGTGAGCAGAAACGCGCTGTGGCTGGCCACAACGATGTGCTCGATTTTGTTTTTGTCCACGTGCGACTTCGGCGTTTTGAATAGCCGGCGGTTGTCCCTCTCCAAGACAAAGCTTTCGATCTCCCGCACCAGTGTGGCGCACCGCATGGCGCACGACTCCCAGGTTTCCCGCCGTTTTTCGTCCCACAACGGATCCTGCCGCGTGTTGATCACATCCCAAAAGTCCATTTTCAATTTCCGCTTGATCTGTTTCTTCTGCTCCTTCATCGCCAGTAATACTTCTTTTTCCTCCTCCTCGTTCGCATAGGGGTCCAACATGCGCCGTTTTTTCAGCCCGCCCCCGGTGGCTTCCAGGCTGTCCAGATTCAGATACTCGTCTGCGTTGGTATGGATTGCAATCATGTCTGCGTCTCCTGGAAGGTTGCAACTCGTCATGCTAGACGTGATTCATGCAAAAATCTGTGTTGCATGAGTGCCAAAAGCTGCCCACTTTCGGCCAAGTTGGGAGGGGATTTCTCATGCAGTACAGGCATGAAAGAGACCTCGCAGAGTTTGTCATGCTAGGTCCCGCATTCCAGACCTCGTGGGTCACGGAAATCTTGCATGACAGATCTGGCATCCTTCCAGACCCAGGCACTTTTGCATTTGATAGTTGGTGTCCCAGAACATGCGGAGATCCAGGTAATCCAGCCGTTTCCGGTATGAAAGGAGAGGCCGGGGGGAAGTAGGTTCGAGCAAGCGGTTTCTGCGCAGCACTTTTCCCCTAAGTCGTTCGCACTACCTAACGGCCAAGCGCTTTCTGCGCAGCACTTTTCCCTTAAGTCGTTCGCACTACTTAAGGCCGACCAGTTTTCGCGAAGCACTTTCCCTTAAGTCGTTCGCACTACTTAAGGGCGAAGCGGCTTCTGCGCAGCACTTTTCCCTTAAGTCTTTCGCACTACTTAAGGGCGAAGCGGTTTCATCTGCACAGCAATTTTCCCTTAAGTCGTTCGCACTACTTAAAGGCGAAGCGGTTTCTGCGCAGGACTTTCCCCTTAAGTCGTTCGCACTACTTAACGGCTAAGCGGTTTCTGCGCAGAACTTTTCCCTTAAGTCGTTCGCACTACTTAAGGGCGAAGCGTTTTCTGCGCAGCATTTTCCCTTAAGTCGTTCGCACTACTTAAAGCCGAACAGTTTCTGCGCAGCACTTTTCCCTTAAGTCGTTCGCACTACTAAAGGGCGAAGCGGTTTCTGTGCAGCACTTTTCCCTTAAGTCGTTCGCACTACTAAACGGCTAGTTTCTGCGCAGCACTTTTCCGTTAAACCGTTCGCACTACTTAACTGTACATATGATCCTGCAAACCAATGGAACTTTTTCTGCACATCATCATCAAGCACTTCTATTTCATCTTTTGATTCTCATCGAACAACCGTACCCCCGCATCTGTTCCCTCCATACATCACAGGTGTGTCTTCCCCCGAGCTCGTGCAGGCATTCTACCATTTTGACCGTCGTCTTCTCAAAATTGATGACCCGCCCGATCGCGATCACTGCCGTCTCTGCAGCACGACGCATCGGACTGGTCAGAACCTTTTCGATAAACGGGGGTTTCAGCACTCGGAGCTCAGGGTTGTCCTTCTGCGGCGAATTTCTCACGTTCAGTTTCGTCATTTCCGTGCAGGTATGGATTGCAAAAAGTTGTACGCGCGAAGTGGTGTAATAAAAAATCGAAGCGATCGCATAAAAAAATTTCATTTTCAGAAAGGAAAATGCATTTTGTCATGTGGAATCACATCATGCCAGTCCCTGATGCAATTATATATCAGCACGACCACTACGGCAGTACTTTTGCCTCGGATAACACCACGCGTGCAGCAGAAACTGCAAATCCATTGCCTGCTGTTTTCCCGTGTTAGTCAGTTTCGCATCGAGGAAAACATATTGGGGATCATTGTCGATTGTGTACCTGATATTAGAATTTGAATTTGTCATGCGAAAAAATCACGCTTTACCTTTATTAATAAATCTTTCTGATGCAGCATGTGTATGGGGCTTGCGAAAGGTAAAGACAGATCTTGGAAATGAACATCACGAATTATACGGCTCCGACACTCCGTCCCACTTTTCGTTTCGATTGACCCCGAAATTTCGGCGGTTCCGCCACTCTCGCTGCGCCACGTTGTGTAAGCCCTCCCCGTGTCGGATAAAATGCACAATCACCTGTCGTTTTTTCCGCACGTTGGATAGGTTTGGAGGCTTGAAACTAGTGGGTTTTGGCTTGCCCTCTGCGGTTGTGGCTTTGACTTGCGTCTTCATTGCCAGCATCGTTGTGTTTTTTATCATTTCCTCCTTCTTGTCGTTCCCGTCTTGTAACCTGTTTTTATCTACTGTGGGTGGCTTTTGCTGCTGCTGCTGTGCAGAAGAAGTCACCTGTGACGACGTCACCATCTTCGATATTTCCGGTTTAACCTGCTGGTTATCTTTCGGTTGTTCCCGGCGATTGTCTGCCTGTTCCCGGCCGCGGCGGTCATTGTTTTGACGGTCGAAATTGCGATCGCGATCCTCTCGTCGGCCCTCCGCATTGCGGTTCTCGCGATCTCCCCGGCGGTCGAAGTTCCGATCCCGATCTCCCCGGCGGTCAAAATTGCGGTCGCGATCCCCGCCTCTCCGATCGTTGGTGCCACGCTCCTCGCGGTCATTTCTTCTGTCGCGATCGTCATTTCTTCTATCACGATCATCGTTGTATCTCCGGTCGCGGGTACTACCAGCATCCACCCGGCGGTCTCGGTCGTCAAATCTCCTGTCGCGATCGTCGTACCTCCTGTCCCGGTCACCACCACCATCCCGGCGGTTTTCCCGGCGATTGCTTCGGTCGCCTGGGTATCAAATGTAAAAGTGTCTGGGTCTGGAAGATAGCGAGATTTGTCGTGCATATTTCGGATCACGCAAGTGGCGTCTGATGCAGGCAAAAGCATCACAGGTTTTGAGCACGCCTCGCGATGCCTGTCCCGCATCAGAAACTTCCTACTTGCGTGCCAAGAAATGAACAGCTTTTGGCGCTCATGCAACGCAAATTTTTGTGTGTTCCAGAGTTTGCATCACAAGTTCCAACCTTCCAGACCCAGACATTTTTGCATTTGATACTCGGTTTCTGCTCCGGTCGCCCCGATTTCTGCTGCGGAAATTGCCACGCGGTCCCGGGCTCCTCCGGTTATTGTCATTTCCCCGCCGAGGAAGATCTCGTGCCGACCGGCTCCGCAAGGCGGCCTGTGTTTTTCGCTGCTCCCGCACGGCGGCCATCGCGACTTTATACGCGGCTTTTGCTTCTTCATCTAAACTCCGGTCGAAAAGCAGGACCGCGTCCGCGGACTTGCTGCGATTTTTGTTCTATACTGTACAAAAGTACCGTACTCGTAGTAACTGCGATCATGCATTACAAGTTTTTTTTGCTGAAGCAAAAACCGCATTACAGTTTTTATTTCTCATGCTGAGGAAATTTGTAATGCATGTATACGAGTACGATACTTTTGCAATGCATATTTTCGGCTTCTTCGAAACAGCGACGCGGGGATCCTCCGGGAAATCGAGTTGGTGCAAGCAGGCCTGCAACGCGAGCGCCACGCGTATAACCTGCTCAGCTGTTACAATCTCAAACGTTGCAACAGAGTCTGAGATTTGTCTTGCATGACGACCATGACAGACTCGCTGAGCGTTCCACTTTCTGCAACGCAAATTTCGTCAGATTGTAGTGGGGTTTCGGACGCTCCGGAACTTGTCATGCGCGATCCTATGAGAGTTGGCTAGCTCATGCACTCTTGCATCACAGATTTCGACATTCCATTGTAACGTTTGAGATTGTAACACCTGAGCAGGTCATAACGCGGTCCTGTAGTTTCTTGTTCCCGAAGGAATTGTCCACCGGGGGCGTGTCGTACAGGTCCGCATTCTATCAAATGTAAAAATGTCTGGGTCTGGAAACTTGTAATGCTAAAAGTGAATAATAGACGCACTGCAGTACGCAGCTATGCATGACAAATTTCTTGGCTGTCATGTCTTACGTATTCCACATGGCAAACTGCGTTGTTACATGACAGGCACGAGGGCCTTTTCGTGCCTATGCAACACAGATTCTCGAGTCATGCCAGACAAGAATGACAAACCTGGCAATCTTCCAGACCCAGACATTTCTGCAGTTGATACATTCTCCGCGACGTAGTCGAGCAGGCTCCGGACCTCGGGTTCCGCGGAGGAAAGCAGAACTTCCGCTTTCACGGGGTAACAGTGCTTCTTCTCCAGCAGCGCCTTGGCATATCCAGGGGGAAGAGAAACCTTTCGTACAACTCGCGGATGACAGTCTACAGGGGAGCACTTCTACGGGGTTTGCTCTGCAGAGAAGTGTTTGTCTGTTTTGAACTACTACACTGGGTGGACACAAGGAACGTGGGTTGATGTTGAAAGGGTTTAATTATATGCATACCAAACGCAAACACTTCTGCGGTTTCCATTTTTGTTTTGTGCATAACAAAGGAACTGATACAACGAGCTGTGAAGTATTTCTTCCATCGGTACAGCGGCGGGCCGTTGCTCCCGGGCGAGCTTGCGGTTTTCGGTAACCTCCGAGACTTGGTGCGCTTCTACGACCATAGTTTTGTGCGGGTTGTGGATGATTTCTAGAAGTAAATTAGCGTCAAAGGAACAATTGTAGTTCTACCGCAGAATAAAGGGAGGTTGAAAGGCTTGTCGCTACTTACTACAGCCTCGGTTGTTGCGCTTTTCGTTTTGTGAAAAATATTAAACTTGTGGCGCGGGTACGCAGCTTGTAGTTGTGGGCGTGTGAAAGATCCTTTTAGGAAACGGCTTTTGAACTTAGGTGTCGCTGTCTAGTAGTAGAGCACTGGTCGCTGAGCAGATGGTTTGGAGTAGCACAATGTTGAAAGAACTCGGAACGCTGTAAAATGGAATTCTGATCGGACCTGCAAAAAGGGATGGGATGGAGGGAACAAGCCGTGGTGGCCGTGAAGATCGGCGCTTACTTCTTCGCTATCTTCTGCTCTAGGTTAGGCAAGGAAAGTTGCGGCCGGCCGCAGCGCGTCAGGGCGCGCTGCTCGAAGCTACCGGCCCGAAAGTAGGTCCCGCGGTACCCCCATTTTGGCATCGGCGGCGCGGGCCGCAGCTTGCGGGCCCGATGGCGGGTCCGCAATATCTACTACTAGCAATACTGCCCTGCGGGACCGGGTGCGCAGCACGGACCGCGTATGTAGTTTCTGCGACGGGTGCGAGCCGCGCGGGCGGGTCCTGATCGCACCAAACCGATCTTCCGCGGCAGGGGGCTGTTTTCGCTTGCGGGGGTCGCCCCCTTTCCAGGTGGGGGACGTGGCCTTGCGAGGAAGCGGCAGCAGAGCCGCCCGCCCGGCAATTGCGCACTTTGTTTAGGTGCATGTGGAGAGGGGCTTGCATGGCAACAACTGTTGCGCGGACGGCGCCGCGGGGCGGCCGCCGCGGAAGGGAACCGCACTGCCGGACCCCCTCCCGAACCCGGTCCAAAAATGCTGCCGCGACGCGCTGTGCCTGCGCTTTTGCAGCCACTTTTCCCCAAGCGTGGGCCAAGCGGAGGCGCCCCCAAGGGGGTCTGACGCATTGGAGGAAAGAGGCCGAATCTAATGCCATTGCCTGCACTCATCAACGGCCGCCCGCCGCGCGGAAGCAGTGGAATCCACTGACAGGAGGCACATGAGCCATGTTGACACACCTTCCGCGCACCAAGTGGAGGGGATTGCGTCAGATCTGGGCATAGGGACCCCCGGACCGACCTCTTTAAAATCTAAAAAAATGCACACGCAAGGGCATTCGTGAAAATTACAAGACAAAGCATTGGGAGAGTGTGTCTCTGTTATAAATGTGCCTTCTTTTATCATTTCAGCGATGCCAGGCCCTGTGAATCTTGCAAATTTCAACGATTTTGGAAATTTTCAAAAAATCGGCAAAACTCAAAATGTGGGAAAATATCATGAAAGTGCGCAAATTGTGGTAATATTATAGAGAATCTGCATAGTGGCACACGTAGACTCTCTCCATTGGACAGGATATTGCAACAATATGCACTTTTTTAGGCGTTTTAAAATTTTTCGAAAATTTGAAAAATTTTAATTTTCAGCACGGCAATGATTCTTCAAAATGTTCTTAATAATACAGCTGCCACCCTCATACAGTACGGGCATGGTGTAGCTTTTCACTTGTAAGGTGAAACATTATTAAACTTCGGGCATTTCCACACATTTTTGAAATCTAAAAAAATTTCGAAAAATTTGAAAAGTTCCAGTTTCTAAAAAATAATCGACAGACGGCATCTGAAAAGCTCCACACTTAGCCTGAACTTGCATAAATTCCAGGACTTCATTTATAAAAGCTTATCACCATGGAGAATTGCACTGGTTTCATATTTTTCAAATTTTTCAAAAAAATTTAAAAAAACTACTTTCCTGGAAAATGACTGGAAAAAACAAGTCGCGCTATGTGTGTGGGAAGTGCTTTACTATTTCTGCAAGTCTCCAAGCATGCTCATACTGATTTCTCCCCACTTTGTCCATATTTTTTCCATTTTGAAAAATTTTGCAATTTCTGAAAAATTCTGACTATGATGTAAGACCATAAAGATGCCACATTTTGAAGCAGTGAAAGACGTCGCATCTAGTATTTACGCACTTTGCTCCAGACATTGAGCCGCTCAGATCTGTTTTGCTTTGTTTTCCGTCATTTTTAAAAAATTGGAAAAAATTGCACCTCCCAGATCAAGCCACGAGGGGCAGACCCCCTCAGGATTGGGAGTGTGCCAGTGCACAGCACCCTTCAGATTGTGGCTTGCCTCTATATCCACCGGCGGCGACCGCTGGCTTGCGCACATTTTCCGCATTGGCCGCATAGGGTACCGCCCCGCATTCGGGCCTCCGGCCCCCCAGGCCTGAATCGTGGAAGACCGTGGGCCCGGGCCGCCCTAACTATAGGAGCGCGACCGGACAGCGCCGCAAGCATTGGTACACTGCTCGCCCCGCAGCTGAAGCGGCGCCCACACGGCGCCGCGACTCGCGCGCAGGTGTGGTAAGAGAAAACCAGCATCGCGGGCCGGCGCCGGGCGGGTCCGCGGCGCATCTCGTGGGTCGTTACCCCGGGCGGCGCGTCGCGCGGCCCGGCCTCTTCCCGCCATACCTGCGCCGGGCCCCACACGCGGGGCGCCGATCGGCCGAGGCTTTTTCGGGGGCCGGAAGCGGGCGCGCTCCCTACCATTCGCGCCGGTGGTCCTCCGGAAAGGTGGCGACGCCGCGAACCCCGGCGCGAGGCTATGCCCGAGAGCGAAAGGAGCGCGTAGAGGTCGCTCCACACGGGGGCGCCACGGAGTTGAGAGGAGACGGGTGGAACGAGAGTAAGAATTAGCATTCGATAGGCCCCCAACAACGATGGGGCGAGAGCATGCACTATCGAGACGCGCTACAATGACTTCTGCCACTCCACTGAGTAGCTACTTCCTGTCGCACACACGTCCCGCAAGCCCCGTCCTCCTTTCGTTTCGAACTGCCGGCGCTAGAGAACCCGGCGCCGCAAAATGTAGTGCCCGCGCAGCAACTTTCCGGCCTTCTCGAGCCGGCACGGCTGCCGCCCCGGCCGACACAGCGAGCTCGCCATGCGGACGTGAAGAATAAGTGCGGGAACAAGTACAACTCCGACCGCCGGCGGTTTCATCTTCTGGTCGGGCTTTTAACACCAGCGTCCTCTCTCGACTACTACCCGCTGCGCCGCCCGGAAGATGATGAAACGTCTACCAATTGCGGGTCCTTCGCCGCAACGGCGGCGGTCCCGCCGTCGCGAAGGACCGCCTCTAGGCTCATCTACCGCGAGGAATTGCAAGTCCATCCTCCGCACTTCTGCCGGCTGTTCAACGCCCCTGCTCCTCGCTCTCCTCGTCGGCCACCGGACAAATTCGTTCGCGGTACAGGGTATCAGGCTGGTCGCGTCGACGACCGCAGCGGAGGGACTGGGAAGCGATAGCGCATCTGCCGCGACGGCAGCGGGTGTGCAGCAAGTGGTCGAGCTGTTGAAGAAGTTAGAAACCGAGAACGAATACGCATTGCAAAAGTATCGCACTAGTACGATTTGGTGCATCACAAATTTTCTCACGAACAAAAACGCAACTTGTCATGCTAGTCCCGGTAGAAAGTTGGATTTGTCATGCATGGCTGCAACTACTACGAGTGCGATGGTGCTTTTGCACAGGATAACGAATCCGCGACCTCCGAAGCGGAGAAGCAGTTTGCGCAAGAGGAGCAACTCCTGAAACACGAGGTCGCAGATACGGAACAAAATCTGGAGGAACTGAAAACCACCCTCGTGGAACTGTCCGCTTTGCGCGAGAAAACGACCGGTGACCGCGAAGCAGCAAAACTCGCTCTGGAAAAGGTGGGAAGTGAAGAATTAGGGCCGCTCGAACAGAAGAAGGAAGAGAAAAAAGGGCAGTGCCAGACGGAGCTGCGGGAGTTTCGGACCGCTTTTGACAAAACGGAAAAGTCGATCAAAACGATTGAAAAGGTTATCCGGTTGGGGAAAAGAGTTTCATATTTGTAGAGTACAACGACCAGAGTATTATGTGAACAGATTATACGGCTCCGAGCATAACAAGTTTGATTTTGTTTGAAAAAATTTGTATTGCGTAGTCGCCTACATGTAGCACTTTTCTCATGCATAAACCCCAAGAGGCAGCTGATTTCCAAGATGGAGACGATGGAGAAGAACGAGGAGAAAACGGAAGACGCGGAGGAGGTTATGATGTGTGAATCGGGAAGATGAGTCGGAACAATTTGTGTTGCATGGCGTGGTTCACAAAACAACTTTGCATTGCGGCATACACAATAGCATGCAGGTTCATCTAGATTTTTATCGCAACACGGAGTAGTTGCATGTCGGTTTTTTCGCATGCTGATTCGCCATGTTTAGATTTCGCACTCATAACCTCCGCGGACAAGATGCTAATGCAGGAAATGGTTGCGGAGAAGAAAAAAATGGAGGACAAGAAAGTTTTGCAAGAAAAGCAAGAAGTCAACGCGAGGTTGGAGAAGGAAGAGAGATTTCAAAAGAAAATGCTACTGGAGGAGAAGTCATTTAGTACTTCTTCGTCTTCTCCTTCCACCCAGCAGCGGCCGCCGTCGTTGTTTCTCCAGTTAGCTAAGGCTGCAGCTTCGACCAGCACTAATACAGAGAAAGCAGGGGTAGAAGTCGAAAGGGCGTCGTCAACCCAGTTGCTGCGAGAGGACTTGTCGAACTTTTCCACTGTTGGTCTACGAGGAAAAGAACAGCTGAAAGAAAAATCCCCCACAACTTCCTACTCCCGCATCCTACAGCTCTTGACCGACATGTCGGACAAGTTGCAGGAAGAAAAGAAGCAGCGCCTTGTGGCCGAGAACGAACGGTCGCACAATTGCGAGCTGCAGTTATCCTCGATGCGCACCCGCGTGAAAAATCTGAAGCAGCAACAAGCGGATTTGGAGGAACGCATCGGGAAGAAGGAAACTGAGTCCGCGAAGTTCGAGCAAGAATTAGAGGAAAAGACGGTCCAGTTCGCAAAGGCGAAGCAGGCGTCGAAACAGGCGAAGACGACACTGCGGGTGCGGACGCGGGAGTACGAGGAAGAGATCAAAGTGAAGCAGGAGGAAGCGGAAGCTTTGAAGGAGGCGGTAGAAGTTTTAGCAGGGACTAATTCGGAAAAAAATCCTGATGGAGGGCAGAAGGCCAGTTTTCTGGTTTCCAATGCCGCTGAGCAATCTGGTGCAAGAGCTTCTGCTTCGATCATTGACGTGGACAGTTTGTTCACTTCTTCTTCTTCTGATGCGGGGTCTTCATCTACTGCTGATAGCACCTCCGCAGCAACACCGGACACAGAAGGAGAACCCCCCTCTACTTTCCTGCAAACGGCAGCTTCAAGAACACTCACCAAAGCACAACAGCTACAGCCATCGAGAGCGCAGCAGCTGCCGTATTTGTTGCAAAAAGCGGCCGACGTGATTTTTTCTGCTGACGCTGACACTGCGCAGGAACAAAGTGAAAGCGCTCCTTCTGACGAAGGAAATAAGATCAGGACTAGCCAGTCGCAAGTGGATGAAATAGTACTGGGGCAGAGCAATAAAAGCTCTTCAAATTATAATCATTTTCGTCGTTCTCCAGCCTCGTCTCCCGTCGCTTTTCTGGCCGAGAAACTCCGGAACACGGCGAAGTTTCTGATGAAGAGCAAAGCCGGAATATCATTTGTAAAGACGTCCCCACCCCAGAGTTGAGATGCAGATTTGCAATGACAGGAACATTTGTAATGCGTATCTCCATGAGAGGCGTTTCTAGTCGTGTTTTGGCATTTGTAATGCTGTCACCAGGATAAGCAGATGGATTTGTGATGCGGGTGTCCTTGCTAACCTGCACTACACTACTGACTGCCATTTGTAATGCGTGAGTCCCAAAGCTTCTAGGTGTATGTTGCAAAATCCCCACCTTGACTATGGGGTGGGGACGTTTTTACACAGGATACGGGACGCAAGTCAACCTCAGTCTCCGCAGCGGAAACGATGCTTTTGACAGCGTGAAAAAGATGATCGCGGACATGATTGCGAAATTGGAAAAAGAGGCGGCGAAAAATTTGAAAAAGGAGCAGTTCTGCACGGAGCTACGCATTGCAAATATGTTTGGGTCTGGAAGGGTGCAAAGTTTGTCATGCTTGTCTGGCATGACTAAAGAGCTTGTGATGCGTGTCCAGGAAGAGACCCTTTTGCTTGTCATGCAAAAACGCAATTTGTCATGCGAAAAAGAAAAGCGCAATACTAAGCCGCGCAAAGATTATTTCTCATGCTTGGCTCCTGTGCATTGCAGAGCATTCACTATTGACAATCCAGCAGCACAAGTTTCCAGACCCAGACATATTTGCACTTGATACGAGCAATTGGGTAACAACAAGGAAGAACTTGCCTCCGCGAACCAAAAGCAAGCGGACTTGGGGATCAAAAAAGAGAATTTGGAAGCAAGTCTATCCTGAGTAAAAACATCCCTGCCCCATAGTCAAAATGGGAAATCTGCTATACAAATCCTCAAGCTTAGGCTGTTGCGCATGACAAGTTTAGCCTCATAGTGTAGTGCTCTTTAGGTCGTCCAGCAGCGTGACAGATCTAGCCTATTCTGCTGATTGGAGCATTGCAAATTCCGAAACACGAATCGGAAATGCTTCTCATGGCGCTCCGCATGAGAAACATTCTGAGCATGCAGATTTGCATGACAGCCATGGGTTGGGGACGTTTCTACGTAGGATAGAGACTGGAGCAGATGGCATCGAAGCTGGAGAGTATCGCGGAGAAATATCAAAATGAAAAATCCCCCCTCCCCATATCAAAACGGAAATCTGTGATGCGGGATTTGTGTACACAAATCACATTTTTCTTGCAGGAAAGCATTGCACGCAGATCCCAAGCCTAAGGGGGGGCTTTTTGGTGTAGGGGCCTAGCATGGCAGACGTCTGCCCTGTAGGCCTTGCAGCATTACAAACTGCCTGCATATCGCGGCGGGCTCTCTGGATTTGCCTCCTGGCAAGACAGACAAGATTTGTGGCCACAAATCTGCATCACAAGGACGCGCTTTACTGTTTTCAATATGGGGAGGGGGGATTTTTCCTTTTGATAAGAAAATGAAAAAGATCAGCGAGGACAAGGACCAGATGACGGCTCTCCGCACGGAGAAGAAGAACGAAAACGAGAAAGAAACCACGAATGCGAAAGCCTCCGGGGAAGCGGTCGCGAGGGCGCGGGTGGTGCTGGAAAAGTTTTACGGGACGGGAGAAGCGGTGACTTCTTCTTCCTCTTCTTCTTCCTCTTCGCAGGAGTCAGAAACTGTTGTATCGACCAAAGACAAGATTTTTTCCCTGCTGGAAAAGCTAGAGCTGGACTACTATCAGATGCAAAATTGTCTCGGTCTGGAAGGGTCCGAGATTTGTCATGCAGTTTTTCCAAGCTCCGCCAAGTCTGGAAAGCAGGGCCTAGCATCACACGATCTGCAACCCCTTGGTGATGCCTGTTCTGCATGACAAATTTCCTCTCGGCATAAACCAAAAATGGGCGCCTTTTGCAAGTCACGCAACACAAATGTTGGTATGATCCGCCACATGCATCACAAGTTCGCATCCTTCCAGACCCAGACATAGTTGCAATGCATAACTACTCCAAGCAGCTGCTGGAACTGACCGCGGGGGAGGAGAATGAGAAAAAAATGTTCGAAGAAAATGTCTATGCACTGCAAAACTCCACCCTGGACGTCTGGATAGTACTTGTGATGCGAAAAAGTGGATGGCGAAAACACTCTCGAATGCAGTCAAGCATGACAACTCTCCAGAATTTTCAGAACGGTTTTTTCCCGTACACATTCCGCATCAGAAACTGCGTTTTTTGTGTGACAAAAGAGGCTACGGCTCTAGCTGGTCATGCAATACAGATGTCACAGGAATGTATGGACGAGCATTACAAGTTCAAACTTGCACGCCGGAGACCACATATTTGCAGTGCATAATGTCCAGTCCATGAAAGAAGAGCAGGCCGTACTCGACTCGGAAAAGAAGAACCTGAAGCGAAGCGTTGCGATATCAACTGTAAAAATGTCTGGGTCTGGAAGAATCCAGCTTGTCATGCTGATTTTGGATTTCAAAAAAATAAAAATCTGTATTGCATGAGCAGCAAAGAGAGTCCAAGTTTTGCTCCACGGAAAGAGCATTTGTCATGCGGTATAGGCATCAGGAAGCCCTCACAAACTCTGTGATGCTAGAGCATGCAGCACAGACATCAGGAGTCAAGCAAAATGTGCATGACAAACATGGCAATCTTCCAGACCCAGACACTTTTGCATTTGATATGCGAACTCAAACGCCGATTTGACAGAACTGGAAAATGAACTCGCGGCAACGTGTAACCAAGGAAAATTATGTTGTAGGTTAGAAGTGTAAAGAACTGACGTGTGTATCTTTTTGAGACCTCTCCTGTCGTCCTGCAGGAAAAAGTTTCGTGAAACTGGTCAACATGTCAGTCTTCTACAACATCACTTTTTTCTCTTGGATAGCGCTGGAGGAAATCGAAAGCTGTAAGAAACAGAAGCAAGAGCTGGAGCTGCAGTGCGAGGTAGTTTCCAACCCGGAGGTGGCGGCGAAACTGGAGAAGGAAAAGAAGGAAAATATCCTGGGTAAAAACGTCCGCACCTCCCAAGAGTTGTCATACAGAATTACAATCACAGGAAAACTTGCAATGGGTATCCCCATGAGAGGCATTTTTATTTTCAATCGCGTTATCATGCAATTTGTGATGCTGAGAACAGAATACCAGGATGGTTTTGTGAACATGCGGCTGTCTTTGCCAACCCGCACCATTAAAGTACAGAGAACAACTTGTCATGCGGGACTCCCAAAACTTCTGGATTTGTGTTGCAGAATTGCCATCTTGACTCTGGGGTGGGGACGTTGTTTTTACACAGGATAGAAAAACGGGCGAAGGATATCGAGAATCTGAAATATGTTACAGAAAACACGTGTACCCATACCAGATGAAGATCGAATTTGTGTTGCTGTTTTTCTGGTAGCGCAAAAACAATATGATGCTGATTGATGTCAAGAGAAGCGGTTTTCGTTTTTTGTCATGCATAATCGAGAATGTAATGCGAATCCGCATGACAATAAATCTACCCAGAACAACATCAAATGCACTTGTCATGCGACAGCACAAGAAACAGCCCGACAAATTTTTTTTCTCTCTGGTGCTTCTATGGGTGTGCTTTTCTTGGGGATATGGAGATCGCTCTGGAAATGCTGGAGCCGGACGAATAAGAGTGCTATTCGTATATTCGTCGTTTCTGACTATCTCGAAATAAATAAGGAAGGTGCTGTTTCAGAAAGGGGTTGACATCATCTGCAAGGCCCTCTCTAGTTGATCTTGCACATAATTTATTTTTTCCGCCCGATCATTTATTGTGGGGCAGCACGACCGCGACCTGAGTAAAGATAGGTTTCTTGTTACAGCGAACATTCACAACCAGGCAGCATTCCTTCTGCGAAAGCGCATGAAAGGTGGAGCATCACCTTGCGCTGAAAAATGAAAGCATGTTACCGTGTTACCCCGAGCTAGGATTGATCTTTTTTGTATCTCGGTCGTTGTCGTGGCAGCTCTCTGTCGGTGCTGTGATATGATTCATCTAAACGCCGTGCGATACAAAATTGCAACGGGATTTATTGCGTAGGTGGTGTGCTGGTGGTAGTACGTACTATCCCCTTCTGATGAAGAGAACAATTAAATCGCACGAGGTTCTTGAGAAAGATTTCTCTCCCACGCACTACTGTCGGTGGTGTGGCTTTCCCGTATCGTCCAAGAAGAAAATTCGTCCATATTTCTAAGGACACGCAAGCCGACACAGCTCTACCTTTAAAACTCCCTTCGTTTCGGTTTCGTTGAAAAGAACTAATGCGGCACAACTTCTCTGTACTGCAACTCCGAGCAGCCTCGGTCGCGCCGTATGGCGTCGCAGTTCCCTCGGTTTTATTTCCGGACAAACATCATGAAAATGCGCGCCAGCGTCGGTTTGGTGATCGTTTTCTGCACCAGTATACCTCTTCCTCGTACACAACATATTATCGTGCGCCTACTAAACGTTCGTTCGTCTAGTACGGAGGTATCTTCTGTCTGTCTAGTATGCGATCTTACCTCGTTCCTCGGTGGAGATAGGAATAGAAATTGAGTACTACGTACTAGTAGTCCGCTGCCGGCCATTTGGAAGAACTGACTATATGATCGCATTGATGTAGTTGACACGTTGTTTCTCTTTGTTCTGCTCACAGTGACTGCTATCCCCGCACTGATCGGTGGTTTTTGTCACAACCCAAAATTTTTGTTTTGTTTTTGCATAATTTTTCCACCCCCGCCGCATTTAGCTTTAAGATTTGCTTTTGTCTCTGACTGTTGTTCTTGTTTTGCATCATCAACTACCTAAAGAACTGCCGAAAATATTAAATCACCTAAAGAACGCCTCCTCAACACTTAAAGAACTATATTTCCGACGTACTGAATTCAAAGAAGAAGAACCACCCATCTCCACTTCTCGCCACTTAACGAACTGCACCCTTTTTTTGTTGATGTCTATTGTTACAATAATTATCAAAAACTTTTCCCATAACTTCACAAAGCACAAATTATTTCCACGAGGGCGAGAACTACGAGAAGAAAAGCTCTGCGACAAAAATAAACTCTACTACTTGAAGCTACCGCGAGAAGACGCCGCTCTCCATCCGTAGCGAAGACGAGAAATAAACCAAACTCTCGACTTTGCGAGCTGACACACCAGAAGAACCAACCGTGAAGGAAAAATGCTGCGGCAAAATCTGGACGGCACGGCCGAATTCGTGGCCGTGTATGGCAACGAAAACACGACGAACATTATCAAATGCAAATGCGTGGTCTGGGTCTGGAAGAGTGCAAGGTTTGTCATGCAGGTTTTCCATGACCCGTAAATAAGTCTGGAATGCGGGGCCAAGCATGATAGACTCTGTGAGGTCTGTATCCTGCCTATCCTGCCTGCATGAGAAACTCCCCCTCAAGAACTTGGTCAAGAGCGGACAGCTTGTGGCCGTCATGCAACACAGATGTTTGGATGGTTGAGATTTAGCATGACAAGTTGCAATCTTCCAGACCCAGGCATATTTTCCATGCATAAACACCACGTCGGAACATCAAAACGGCGAAGACAGTGCCTCGGTGACGGCGCGGCTGCTCCGGGACATCGACGCGGGCACTGCCGGAAATCATGCGACGTGGAAGGCGGCTGGCGGTCCGCCTCCGCACAGCACCAGCAAACCCTCGAGCGCCGGGACGGGAGGTCGGGCCTGCCTTCTGATGCTGTTTGGAACCTTGGTGGCCGCGTTGATTTTCTTTGCCGGCTATTGAGAGGAAAACCCCCCCTCCCCATATCGAAACGAAGTTTTTGATGCTGGATTTGCGTACACAAATCAGATCTGTCTTGCAGAAAGTGCTTGGTGGCATTTTCTGACCCTGTTTGGGTATGCAGAAGGCTAGCAATTGCGCATGGCAAACAGGTTTGCAGTAGTCGAAAGCGCATGACAGACTTGCTCTGGAATGCGTCAAATGGCTACTATGACCCTATATGCAAGACAAAGATGATTTGTGGCCACAAATCAGCATCACAAATTTCCGTTTTGATATGGGGAGGGGGGATTTTTCATTTCCATATCGGCGTTGCGGAGTCCGACGCGCTGAAGAAAGCAGTACTGGTTAATTTTCTCATTTTCTTGTTGTGCAACAACATGATAAATACTAGCGATGCTACAATACCCTACAAGTCGGCAGTTTTTGTCGCCACAGAGCCTCGATCAACGAGAATCGGGAAACCGAGAAAAAGGGAGAGGCTTGCAACCTAGGAAGCCCCGGCCACCTCTCTGGGCCCCGACGCGATAGGCTATGGGGCCGTAGGCCGGGGCCCCTAGGTGGGCGAGTGAGGCCAAGCAGGCCGAGGCCCCGGGGGCGAAGGAAGGAAGCGCCAGCGGCCAGGCGCGAAGGGAGGCCATTTGAGAAAGCTGGGGCCCAAATGCGAGAAAGCCAAGGCCGAAACAAAGCGACCGCGACA